CATCATGCATAATTTGGAAACAAACATGCGCTGCACCGTCTGTCTGTAAAAATCTTAGTCAACATGGTTCCCGAAAAATCCCGGGATATCCCGATGAATCCCGATTTGATGCTTATCCCATGAACTGTACTGTGTTATCCCGAAAAAGATTGAAACTGTCTGACAAAACGACAAAATGTAATGTCAGATCCATGTTTATATAAACGTAAACAAACGCCCCCTCCCCCGGCCCCGCACCCACATTACAAAGTCGACAATAGTTACAGATGAACACAATTCTGTTTACTTTATTTTCAAAACGGCAGCAAGCCTAAATCTCTATACATACGAGATTCTATCAAGTCAGGAGCTAGTGTAAATTATGAGTGTTTTTTTTTATTTGAGCCGGCGGTGACATGCAAAAAATTACACAAAGTCGCCGGCGTTCTGTGGAAATCTGCAGTCCTAATTGTGGATATTGAACCCCAAATCCCAATGCAATATTCTCTACTCGAGACTGGTATTCATATGACCGTATTTTACGAAGAAAAATGAAAACTGACCGCTGACATTGATCCACCGATCTCTTCTCGTGTCATACGAGGGCGGATGCCCATATTTGGAAATCTCGGGTGTTCCCTGCGTAGCGCTAGGGTCATTGACCGCGGTTATCGAACACGCTGTTCCATTGTTCCATGGTTGTTCGAATGTTCCAAACGCGTTCTTTTTGTTCGATTTTTGGCTTAAAATGCAACTTTTTTCACCCATTTTTTGCCAATAAAATCATTTTCTGACATCTATGTTGGCCAAAATGACCAAGGTTCAATGTCTAACGTACCAACCTACCAGCATGCTGAATTTCATTTTCCTCCAAGCTCTAATTACGAAAATATCTACGATTTTTAGGTGTTTGGAGAAGAGGAGGAGGAGGAAATGAGCAAATATAATATGTTTTCCTTCGGTAAACATAATGAGAGTATCTGATGTATACAGTTAGTTTCTATGTATATGTATGAATAGCCAGTATTGCTTAATAAAAATTGTGACAGAGGAGATTATAATACTGGTCAGCAATATTTAAATGCAGGTGAAGTTTCAGCAGTAGTTGGATGAAATTTGCCTAATTGATAACTTTATAGCACTACACTTAGTGGCCTTGAATTTTTATAGTGCTAAATTGAACATTGCCATATCTTACCTTCAATTTTAGTTCATGTTTGCAAATTGCATGTTGCAAATGGGTATTTCATCCCCAGTGAGGTGTAAAAACCTTCATAATATGATTGTAAAGTAACCCAAATGTGGTTTGCATTAGGCAACTATAATCATAGGTGCATAAACTTACTCTTACTGGTTACACTGAGACAAAATGTATTTTCAGTTTGCATCTCAATAGAAACCCGGCCTGAGAGATACTGTGAGTGTAACTCTATTGTCACATTGGGATGTCAGCAAAATTTGATTGGATTAAAGTAACAAAATCAGTGGCATGTTGTTGGTGACCCAATTAGAAGTCAGAAGGGAGGCTAGTGGAGCCATGCTGTGGTGTGAAATGGATGGAGAAATAGAATTGATTTTTTGTCTAAGTAATTTTTTGGAGTAGGTATTTTTTGGACTAGTCTTTTCGTCTATGTAAGGATGGACTGATATTGCCTGCACTTAGTACGAAATATTTAAGACAGAATATTATTCCACTTGTGATTTGTAGTTTTCTACAGTTTAAATATCCAGTAGCAATTAAGGTCTTGCAGGAACCATTGAACTAGGTTGCTTTCGCCCAGTGTGGAGAGGAACACTTGTAATGCAGCAGCATTGCTTCAGACATAATCCCGCACGATCTGTATCTACGAAATGCGGGCAGAATTCACCCTAAGTGCGATCTTTGGCGTGCCGTGGCAGCTCAGCCGGAATGCATGTGCATGCCTGCACGTTGATCAAGTAATCTGATGAATACGGCCCAAGACCTCCGCACAATTCGGAGAAATTTGGTAGAAGATTGTATTAGATTGGTGGTGAACCTTGGGATTGCGACAATGAAGGCCGGTAATTGTGTTACTCCCCCAACCTTACTCAATATATGCACGCCAGAATTCTTTTCCATAGAGATCAGGGTCTTGGTTTTATCTTTGATAGAGTTTTTATGCAAAGCCATGAATAAAGTATAAATATGAGCCCAAGAAAGCTTCGGAATGCAGGATGGAGGGCGACGCATACTGATGCGTGGATTGTGGCCCGGCGTGACCACTTCCCATTAATCTAGCACTCTGACTCGGGGAAGCGGCAATAATACCTTCTATCTGGTGATTTGGTTTATTTCAATCTTTGATCACTTTTCCCCGGTACGGGTGACATAAGATATCCCGTAAATGTGGCGTCCCGACGATCCCGGGCTTAAGGGATGTGGGAACGGCCTGCTTGCCTGTGCATCAAAGTCAACCAAGGACCATTCCGCCCCATTATGTATTGATTATGAGGCTCTAACTATGATGTTCGTTCCCAGTTTTCAGGAGATAAAGCAGAGTTCGGACATTTGCTACTCGGGAAATGGGAGGCCGACAGGACAAGCCATGTATCTTGGCTTGATTTGCCCTTCGCAGCTACATCCTTTTGTGGGTTATTTTCTCCCCCGCTCGTCTGTCTTACTTGTGTCCACTAACTAATGTCTTTTGCCCACGGCTCTGACCCTGCCTTCTGTTTCCAGCCTTTTCAGGGTCAATAGCAATTGGGAAGGTGCCCGGTATCATTTGGAATGCTCCCAGAACATAGCGCAGACCCTCCGTCAGGCTTCTTCGCTCCACTATAATGGTGTTTAGTTTATGGTGGCATTTCCGCTGCTTGAGTGCTCATAAATTTCAGTAATGGCATGTTATTGATTTGATCAATTAAGATTTAATGGCCGTGTGCTAATTGGCGAGTAAGTAGTCCATTACAAGGGGGATAAATTATCCATAGCTGTCAGCACTGGCCAGGCCAGACCTCAAACTGTATCAGATTTTCTGTATTTTCGTTGTCGTCTTTTCTGTTTCCCTGACAACAGGACAACTTGGGACACCGGCTGCTCCAGAAGCATGGCTGGCGCGTGGGGCAAGGACTCGGGCGGAAGGAGCAAGGTAAAAACCAGTTTCCTCCATATCGTAACCCTGCGTCATTTACAGTTGACATTTGTGGTGTTCTTTGATTGCTTTGCTACCATCTGCCAAAAGTTACTGGTTGGGGGAGGGGGCTGTAAGAATGTGAATGTCATTGTGTTTGAGAGAGTGAATAAATGAGTGTAATGTGTGTGTGCACCAGATATCAGTTTCTCCTGTTTTAAAAGTGAAATCCAGAGGGACAAAAGTTGCATGTTGAGGTGAATCCCAGAGGAAATCAGTGCTGCTGTTTCTGTTGATAGGAAGCAGACTGTTTAATCTTGTGTTCAATGGAAGACTGTTCGATAGCTTCATCAACTGTACCAAGAGCCATGGTTTCTATATTTGACTTGTCCCCCCTTGCTTGATCAAAATGTAAATTATAATGTTGACACATCATAAAGCAATAATTCTATGAAAAGGAGTGTATATTCACTGCTATTAATATGTGCCTACGGCAAAGTTAACAATTCATGGAAAACGAGAAAGAAAAATTTATTTTCAGTTTTAGCTAGACTAAGTGACTTACTTACAAGTACTTCGTGTTTGTTTCTCATGTGGAAGTTTTTACCGCAGGCTATGTCTGTCAGATGTAGATTTATTGCTTTTTTGTAGCAATTGTTGCCTTTTAAGCTCCAGATGTGAAGCCCCTTACATCCCCAAGCAGTGTTCCATGCATATTTATCGATGATCAAACAAAAGATAAGCCAGCCCAAGTCTCTTTTGCCCTTGCCTGTTATCTGTTGCAGCGCCCCAGTCGTTAAAGTCTGGCCTTCTTCACCATATTACAACATTGTTTTCAATAATTTGGACCTGATTTTGGCAGCCGGGATGTCGTAAAATGTCCAAATGGTTCCGAGATGTAACGAGAACCACCTATAAACTGCCAGGGAAGCCTCACCACTGTTTATGATGTAGCTTAGTTACTTTACCCAAGGTAATCAAAATTCATCAAGGACACTGTGACCTTTGTATCATGTAGTTAAGATGGACTGATTGGGTTGCCTGGCAATGTTAGATAATCATTTTAACCCTCGGCATTCCAAAGTTTAGATTGTTTTTTACGGGGCTTGACTACAGAGAAAATATTGGTCACAAGACAGTAATGAAGATGAAAATACAATCAGGGCTCTAATTATTTCTTCCTTATCCCTTCAGAGTGACCCTATGGTGCCAAATTTGTGTAAATACAAGGTTGAACAGTAAGCACAAAGTTTTAAGAGAGGAATATAAATTAGGGAGTTGTATAAGATGAAACACAGCAGGCAGACGATACTGTTTAGGGTTTGTGTCTGTATATCTTTATAACTGCCCCTCAGCGTAACACACCAGCTTCTGTATCTATATAGCCAATATACCTGTAACCTCCCCTCAGTGTAACACACCAGCTTTGCAGGCACACAGTGTGGCAGCAGCTGGCTACAGTATACCGACTTGATACACCTAACCTTTACACATCTAACTCTAAACATTGATTTAAGCCATCTATTGATGGTGCGCCTACTGTACGTACTTGGTGACAACAATAGTTCTAGGTGCCTTCGCACCCCCCCACCCCCTTTGTATGTTTCCCTGCAACGTCCTTATTAATACCACTGTCAGCAAAAACTTTTTGTCAGGCAAAAATGTCCCAGTAAGGTTATACTTCTTGCTTAAGCTCCAATCCCTCGCTGCCTCTCTGCCATTCAGTCATCCTAAGGCCCGAAGGAAAACTCAGTCGACCCATCCGTATTCTGCCATAGTTCGAACTTTTCCTGCGAGATGGGATATTTATCAGTAAGGTGATTGTGCGGCTGGCTAAATAAAATTGCCAAGGCACTGGACCAAAGCTGCAAAACCAATGGAGAGAGCTAATAGTCTCATCTATTTTGCGTTTGGGGTAATCCTGGGCACATTTGATCAGGATACCTACCTTGTGTGTTACATAAATGTATGGTCCTGGTATGGGCATGTTTTTGGAAATGTGAATTTTTTCGAAGTGGTATTGCCACGAAAATGATACTATTAAATGTAAGATGCTTGAATTAAATCTAAATTTGTAGTACAGATTTGTCACCTGTTTTCATGAGGAGGATACCAAAAATTTGTTTTTGTCTTCTTTAAGTTTAAGAAGCTTCCTTGAATCATCATCTATTCACCTCACTAGTTCTCTCCACCCATCTTTTTTTGCATCTTTTTTGGGGGAGGGGGGTCCTTTTTCTACCCATTTTCCAGCAAAAAAGGGCTAAACAGTCATCGGCATGGATGTGAAAACCTCAGGGTATTTTAAGTCTGTCCACACTGAAGATTTGCCCTTGGCCCGAAGGGCAAACATTTGCATATTAAGTCACAGGATTGGTTGATGTGATAAACCATCCTGTTGACTTGCCCTTGCCACCCTGGCCAGATCGAAGGCGTTAGCATGCAACAGCAACACCGAATTCAGCACCATGGATCAAGATCGTGTTCCAGTCTCTGCAACTTGGAAATTACAGCTTCCCAGCTGTAATCACAGATACAGCCACACTTTGCGGGGTGTAAAAGGCGGATGACACAAACATTTCAAAGACACAAGGGAGGTAATACACACGTAGTTAAGGCCAAGAAGTGAGTAGAGTTCAAATCTAGGAAATCTAAACCACATTTGACCTTCATTACTTGTCTATATTGATTAATGCAAATTTCCTCATTTTTTTTTACATTGAGCTAACTCTCAACAGCCATTAAACAGGATAGAGAGAGACAGAGAGATAGAAGATAGCTTGGATTTAGGGGAAAAGAAAAATCCAAGTATAAAACAGCATGCAAATAACTCTACACTGTATTTGTCAGTCTTTCTTAACATAAATTTGGACTTTTTTGGACTTAACATAGTTTGGAGCTGAAGACAGTCTCTAGTCTAGGGCTTAAGGCAGTAAGACAGGAGTTTTAAAATCCCCCATCCTTCTTTTATTTTATTTTAGATTAAAAGGATCACAGAGTTACTAATGTATTATTTTCTGAATGCTGTCTTTCCCCCTTAGTCCACACCAATTTAACCAATTGATTCTAGGGTTTGCCTGCTTCATTTTTTTCTGATTCCAAAAAATAAAGATTCAGGTTACGAATCAATTCCCTAATGCTCATATTTTGGCCCTCAAGATTGCAAAAAGCTCATTGTCTTGCTAGTTGTTACAGTTTTTCCATTATTCAATGCATTGGTTTGACAAAAAGGAAAAAATTCATTGTTTGAATTATAAACTGGCCTTCGTAGCTTTTGAGGCTATCATAGAATACCTAGGCTTGTTTTTATTTGATTTTATTTTGCCCTGTTGCTTCATTTTTTGTTGAAAAAAATCCGAGAACCAACAAATGAAATTGGCATGGCCTTTCTTTGATTTTTCTTGACCCAACCTGAGGACAAGGCAGTGTGATCGTGTTTCATATGTAGGGAGAGAGGTCCCAGCCTAATGTATCATTCAGCACACAAGTCGTCTGAGGTATCGTCTTTTCTCCATTCAATTCCAACCCGGTGATCACATTCTGTGTGGATTATCCCAGTTGAGACCTAAAAGACAGTAAACATATTTGCAGTGAAGATTGCGGATGAGCCGGCTGGGCCCAGGTGTTTGAATAAGGCATTATGGTGCTAAACCTTTTATGCCACTCTCCTCGGAGGAAAATTGTCAGGAAGTTGGAACCAAATTAGTGATTACTAGCTTGGGTTTCTCACTTTCAAATTAAGATTTCCACGATTTTTTCTTCTAGATCACTGACAGAGAGTGATTTTCAAAAAAGACAAATACCAGTAACCCTACTCTTGCACAAGTTTCTATCTATTGTTTACATACTTATGTACTCTTGTTGTGCAAATATCTTGTTCTTTTGTCCTAAAAGAATAATTGAGTTTGCTTCAGACCAATGCAACAATTCCTCATTTCCTTAATGTAAAGTATGAATTTTCTGAATGCTAAATTACTGACATTTCGGAAAGCCAAGGTCAACATGTCCTTGTTCCTTTTTCACCAATAGTGGCAGGGCTAGTCTCTGAGGATATTTGATAGAGTGGTGTATTACAATGTACATTGAACTGGTCATCATGTACATGCATATTGTAGACTGGGTGATGTCTGTGTCATGCAACTAGAAACAGCAAGCAAAGCATTGTAAAGATTTGAGCAGTGAAAGTTTGAAAGAAAAATGTTGCAAACCTTCAAGATAGATTTTATTTGATGACACAAGAGGAAAAGATAGGGGGTTGGTCTAAATATCCCTCTCTTATGAATAGAATCAAAGTCAGGTTGTGTCATTGTTAACATACAGTCAAGCTTGCCCAAACGATTGATGTAAGCATGAAGAGACTTGCAGACCTCTTGTCCAACGCGACTGTGACTAGCACTTTTCACACCGCACATGGGCCAATGTTTGCCTATGATGACCGTGTCATTTTGATGATAACTAGCAAGAAATCTCGGTGGATTCAGTCCACTTGCCATTGATTATGACTGCATGACAGTCTTTGTGCAATGTACATGTAAACTGGCACCAGCTGGGTCACCTTGGGTCAATGGGGCATTCTATTATAGAATAGGTGGAAGTTTTGCTGCAGTTTTCTTGTCCTCTGTCTTGTCTTGTGGCCATGCTTTTTGTGTAAAAGGACCACTTGTCTAAGAAGACCACTTTTCCTCGGTCATATGGATGGTTGCCTTAGACAAACTTGATTGCAAATTGTGAATTCTAGTACTGGTAGAGGTAAAGTTACATGTAGTCTGGGGTTAGTTAACTTTGGAGCAGTGACAAGACTTCATTTCTATAATGTATGCTTCAGATTGAATCGTGTTTTAGGGCTTAGATATCTTTTTATTAACTGTAAGTCACATTTAATACCCAAATTACTTTCCGATAATCCGAACTCAAGATTTCCCTGTAGATTCCAAGTTTGCAGTAGGCATCAGGTATCAATTTGGACCCAGTAATTGAATTTCCATCATTTGATATTATGTGCCAATTTCATGATGAAATTT